GTAAGGAGCAGCAGGGAGCAGCAGGGTTGTGGTGGACATCCAGGTTTTCCTAAGACAGGGGGTGAGGAAAATGTGGCCCATTTGTGACCTCCAAAGGCTCCCAATCCCCTAAACTAATTTTCTTTTTAAATCTGGGCCCACTTTCCATCTGAATGCAGCGCAAAACTACATGCAAGCATGGTAGTGTCAGTTGCCCATCTGCACAGGGGCCACCAGCACCTCCCAAATGTGGGGTGGGGGTTCACATTGCCTGGAAAACGGGAGGAAATTGTAGCTGGATGCAATGTCATGTAGATTCTCATGCATCCGAGAGGTGGTGGGGATGGCCTGCTGGGGGTGAGGCAGCAAGAACCAGCCATTGTCTCCAGGGCAGCTGCTCCCTTCCATGTTAAGACTCATCTCTCCTGAGTGGAACGTAGGGCTCTCGCTGTCCTCAGCAAAGCAGGAGAGAGCACAGACCCCTGAGGAAAGCTGCCCTCCACCGCCAACCCCAGGCCCATGGGCTCACCTGACCCCTCGTCCCCCATCATGTGGCCCCATCCTCCACAGCTGATCTGGGTGCCGTCCGGGTTGATCAACTTGCAGTTGGAGCCAGTTCCGGAGATAAGCACCACCCCACCTGGAGAGAGAAGAAGAATGAGGAATGAATCACTGCAGGAGGGAGGTCAAATGCATCCACATGGCAGTTAAAGTGGGGTCAAACCAGATTATTTCCACAGTATGGATGCAGCCTTTGTCCCATGAGAAAAACAAAGACAAGAACACTAGGGGGATCACTCAGTGAGATGGCTTTTCTAGACACTGGAGTAATGTCGTGCCTTTCTGTGAAAGCTGGGGAAAGCCATGGCTTTCCAAACGCTGTTGGTCTGCAACTCCCATTATTCCTCAACGTTGGCTGTTCTGGCCATGGCTGAATATAGTGGAAAGTTAATCTAAACATTACCCGGTGAACTTGCTTGTAAGGATACTTCTTCAACTCAGAAAGTTATGACAACAGTTAGTTCAACTGTGAGAGACAAGATTCAAGATGTCTAAGATATAAGATCCAGTGAAGATACCTTGAAAACACCAGATCTTGTGTGATTTGGGAAACTAAGGGCCAGGCTTTGTTAATACTTGGAAGGGAGATTGCCAGGGAATACCAGGTGCTGTGGGCTCTACTTTAGAGGAAGGAACTGGCAAAACCACCCCTTGCCAGGAAAACACTATGAGAGGGTCACCATAAGCCAGTGTGAAGGCACATAACAACAACATGTTTTAAGCAGTTAAGTTGGAGCTATAACTGAGTAAATTTGGAATAAAACTTAACAGCTAGTTCAATTCATGCTCTGCCTCTATTTGGTTATTGTTACTATGTGCCCTTCAATTCGTTTCCGATTTATCACAGGGTTTTCTTGGCAAGATTTGTTCAAAGGAGGTTTGCCACAGCCTTCCCCTGAGGCTGAGAGAGTGTGACTTGCCCAAGGTCAGCCAGTGGCTTTCATGGCTGAGTGGAGAATTGGTCTCCAGTATTGCAGTCCAACACTCAAACAACTATGCCATGCTGACTCTCTGACTCTATCTTACCTGTCATTAAAAATACAGGTTTATTCAAGAGGTAAGAAGCTTCATCTTTAAATGAAGAAAATAAATCTTCAGGGTCAACCTAAAAGAAACTTGAGATTTGATGATGAGATCTATAATTCATAGGGTTGTCATAAGTCAAAATCGACTTGACGGAAATTAAAAATAACAACAAAACAACTCGCTTCCTAACAAGGAGAAGTTACGCATAAAGTGTGCATGGAGCTAGAAGATCAGTCTTCAAACTGAGAGGAGTCAGGAGGTCTGCAACCATGTCAGAGGCTGAATACAGGAGGACCATGTCCCATGTGGCTGCTCCTTACCATGGTTGGTGGCGGTGGCCATGGCCCCAATGGCATCTGTAGTGATGTAGTAATTCTCGCTCAGGTAGGGGAAGCGGGTCTTCATCTCCTCCATGAGCTTCTTGATGGCTTCCTTCTGCTCCCCTCCGCTCAGAGAAAGGCCCTGCAGCAACACATCTACACCCATCACCATCATCCCCAGATGCCACCCGCCAGCTCCAAGATATTATTAAACCAGGGCTGAGGAAAATGTGGCCTCTCCAGATGTGGCAGCTCTTATCAGCCTTCTTCAATGGGTAGGGTAGCTCTGATGGGATTTACAACCCAAGAACATCTGGAAGGCCACATGTCCCACATGCATGGAAAAGTGAGTGAGACATGGAGGAAATTACAGATAAAAGCTAACTTCTTCCCCACAACCACCTTCGAGAGGATATACATCAACCTTTCCACCTGAAAGAAAATCTGCAATTCCTGCTCTTCCCTAAGGAGATATAAAGCAATCCTACTGCACCCTTGAGACTGATTGAGAAAAGGAAATGTTTAGCATAGACATTTGGGGACTCAATTCCACTTCATCCAATGCATCAGACTGGAGTGCATCAAAGTTTGAGCTAATAATTTTCTTTTTCTCAGGAATCTTGCTACAGGATTCCTTTACATCTCTTTATGCTGCAACAGACTAACACAGCTATGTCCTAACTCTCCTAGGTTATATCTGCACTGCAGAATTAATGCAGTTTGACACCACTTTAACTGCCATGGCTCAATGATACAGAATTCTAGAATTTGTAATTTGGTGAGATATTTTGCTTCCGCCATCAGAGAGCTCTGGTGCCACAACAAACTACAAATCCCAGGTTTTCGTGGGATGGAGCCATGGCAGTTAAAAGTGTCAATCTGCATTAATTCTAAAGTGTGGCAGCAACCCTAGTTATGTCAAGTTTGGTTTGAAACCTACGTCCAGCAAATCATTTGCACCTCTGCTTGCCATGGAATTATTAAACTTGGAATTATTAAAGAAAGCTCAGGAGGGCATGCTAAGTAGCTCTGGGACAAAAGCTCCCCTGGTCAGCAATGGTAAGCCTTTTCTGGGAGCTGCCAGCTAAAAAAGTTACTTTTCCAAACTTTGAGATCTAGGGTGTGCTTCCAGTTTAGGAGGAGGGCCAACCAATGCTGCCACTAACCATCCAACTTTCCTAGAGAAAATTCAGCACTTCCCTGGGGATAGTGACTGTAGAGAAAAATGGATTATGGCAGAAAAATTCTCCTGACACTGAAAATTCTTCCAGTTGAAGGGAGTTCCACAGTTCAAGTGCCTCTCTCTGGAATGCTCATCTCTGACAACACTGCCACTGATTTTTCCCACTGAAGAAACAAT